CATATAAAGAGAATTCTTCTGTAATACATGTAGATATAAAAAGTGAAGAAAGCCAATGCCAAGTATACAAGCGTTAGAGTATCAAATTATCCTTTCTGAAAATTGCACTTTTCTATAAATAAAGTGCTGGCATGAATAACCAGTGGGATTATGCATGTAGTTACAGATTTACTATTGAATACCTTTTATTTTTTAAACTTCTTTTTGTTTTAGACTGAAGTTTCACAACTGTTCTTGCTACCTGATAAGGATCTTTATTTGGTTCAATTGTTATCAACTCCTTACCAAATGGAAATGAACTTTTGAAACTGCAGCAGTCTGCTTTTTTTTTTCTGAGAATTCCTCTTTAATGCAATAAAACGTTAATAAGGAACAGGAAAAAAAAAAAAAAAAACTACCGATCACGTTTTAAAATATAAAAAGAACTAAAGGTTACTTTTCTAAGTAAATGTTGAAAATTTGTCTCAAGTAATTTTCACGTCTTTCGGATAATCTGAGGTTGACATGGTGATCTATCGTTAATCACTCTATCAAAAACATTAAAAAAAAAATTCAAGCTTTTTACTTTTAAATTCCCTCATATTTAAACTGTCAAGTAAATGTTAGATGTTTAACAGATTTATATTCAGTCACAAAACTGCAGACTTTTAAGAAAGGTCATTATTGCGGACTAAATGTGGGTGGCCCAGTTGACGAATTAATTAAGAATAAAGAATCAAAGGTCGAAAGAAAATATATTTTTTCTTTAAAACTCAACACACTAACGGTTTATGCATTTATTTCCAATTATAAAATAGGGACATCTGTATAGGTTTATTTTTATCCATTTCAACTAATTAACAGATCCAAATAAATAGCCATTACAGCTAACTGAAAAGTTTGCTAACACTTCATTAAAAAGAAGTTTAAACAAGCACACGAACCTTGTTAACATATTTTGGCTAACCACAAAGTTACTTAGGCTTCTTGATAATTATTTTTATTCAGTTTTCATATACAACGTGACAGCCAAATCCAATAATTCAACATTTCTACACTTTTCTTTTAATGACACTATGGTTCAAACCTTTTCAAAGTACCACTGTTTTTAAAAGTAGGAATTATCGCGTAAACAACCGCTACATCCGAGATTTCACCGAGATGTCCACCTTAATAGGGTTTACTAAAAATATTTTTTTCTCCAGAGATTTAACACTTAAATTCAAAGATTTCTTTGCTGTTGGGATGTGTGGTCTTTTTCAACAGAGGGCTAATAAGATTTCAAATTAAGGAACCATTTGCTACCGTGTCTCATGAAATACCTTCAGCATGTTTGCTACATTCGTGATTGCCTGTGAAAAAGGGTAGACCGGATGAAAGAAAGGACTTTAAATCATCACTACTAAGACTTCTGGCCTAACTATTCAAAACATGCTCCACCGTCATCTTCCACGCAGGTGAATCTGCACGCCGGTGCACACAGATGGATGCAAACCACCGTCTCCAAGGTCAACAGACTCCTGCTGTTGTAGGCCCTACGGACTGTGTTTCCCCTCAAAACATCTCATTTAATTCATCCTCACCCATCTGAAAAGAACCAAAGTCACTTCCTAAAGTGTTGGCAAAAGACACCTGCTAACTCTGCATTTATTTCATATCTTTATAGTTAGTTTCTCATCTTAAAGAGGTTATTCTTCTGATGATACAGTTGTTTGATTCCATTAGATCAAGGATCGGTAACATTTTCCAGCATTGCTGGGCTGGAATGACCCAGCTCCAGTTAAAGACGGGCTGGCACTAGGACCCAGGGCCTGCCACCTCTTCTCTCTGCTACCCAGCTTCAGCACTGCATGGTCCATGTGCCCAGCCCAGCATGACCGGGGGCAAAGCCTCCCACCACTGACGGCCCCCCAGCACCATACCTAGACTCTGGGCAAATTTTTAGTATCGGGCCCCCCGATAATTATAATAATAATCAGACAATGGTAGGGGGGGGAGTTTTCAGGCCCCCTTTCCGTCAGGGCCCTGGGCAGCCGCCCGGTTTGCCCATGCCCATGTCCAGCCCCGAGGTCCCCACTCCTTGGGCTGGATCCAATGGCTTTGTGGGCCAGATCTAGCCTGCAGGCAATATGTTGCTGCCCTCTGCATTAGGTTATGGGGCACAGGGCATTGTAACTGGTCACTGTACTATGTCAGATAAGGGGCTAGCTTGGAAGATAAGGAAGGAAGTTCTCAGTGACACGTTGTGAGTCGAACATTCAGTGTCTCTGAAAATCGCCCCCAGACCTAGGATTGCTTCTAAAAACTCTTTGCAAGTCACGCACAAAAAATAGTGACTACACAAATCACTGACTGCAGTACGTGGAAAGGGTTAACCCAGTGCAGAAAACCAATGTATTTGGCACCATGGATTCCCTGTGGTTTCCTATGCAACTTAGGAAGTTTTGCATGCCCGAGTTTGAAAGATATCTCGTCGATTAAGAGCTCCTCGATTGTTAACTTCCCTGAACCCTCGAGTTTGAAGTCTACTATCTTCCTACGCTGTACATCCCGACAGTGTAAGTAAAGCCATCCTTGTTTCAACCAATACGCGTTTGTGCCTAACTCTGCTCTGGCGGTTACGAGTACCCATCTGCTGATTCTGGGTTTGTGGCCACAACTCAGCCGACCCTCCCGGGATTCCATCTGCGATCCCCACTCAGTCCCCACAATGGGGAGAAGCGTCTCATCCCTGCCTCATCTCTGTGCCTCACTTGAAACGTAGCAGCCCCGTTTAGTTCAGCACGACTGCTCATGTTTAAAAGGTCAGACGTGTGCTTAAGTGCTTTACGGAATTGGAGCCTTAATCAATTATGCTGCAAAACTAGCCATGTAAACCCAGCGAGTGCAAATCTGTGCCATCTACGCACTAACGTGCCACTTTCTGCAGACCTGCCTGCTACAGTCAGCGTGAGAGCAGGAGCGCTGCCAACCTCCTAGGCACTCGTAATGGGCTGAATTCGACTCTGCCGTGTTCGAGCTACGCAGCATGCTCAAGATGGATTATTTCCATTCAGCAATGGGGGAAATGAAGGGAGGGAGGGTTGGCAATGCCCCAGCAGGAACATACCTTATATAGGAAGGTACCCTGTAGAGGCAGTGCTGTACAGCAACAGACGTTTTCTAGGCCTCTTAAACACAACTGAAAATATACCCTGTCTTTATCAAGCCTCTTTGACACCCCCACATTTTTGCCTGAAGATAGCCATCAGTGACGAGAAAAACAATGCCAAAAGAAGGGTTATTTTTCCTTTCTTGGAAAATAAAGAAAAAAAAAAAATGTTGAAAATTCTGAGACCAAGTCTTGCCACCAAAAATAAATGATGAACTCCAGTAGTGCTTTCAAATCCCAACTCGTAATAATGTGAACAACTAAAAGTTATTTCTGTGTTCAAGAATACTGTCTACATCAGGGGTTTAAGACAAAACCTAAATTGTTTTACTGGCAATAATGGCTTATTTATGCCAGTGAAGTATTGCTCGGGCAAAGCAAGCATTGTCATTTTTTATAACTACTTTTCTACAGTCTTCTTTAGGTTTGATAGGTCCCTACTACTGTTAAGGTCAAAGGACAAGTTCATAAAAACCTCTAAATCACATATAACAAGACTTAAGAAGCTAAGATAAATCATTTTATTTCTCAGCCTATGCAGAAGCATCAACACAGACAATGACCACCAGAAATAATGACCACATTAAACAAGGCTTCATGAGAAATTTATGAAGTAGGATTTTTCTTTTTTTTTTTCCCTGACATTAGAAGAAAAGTCAACAGAATTTTTTTTCCCGGAAACGAAACAAATCCCAAAGGTCAACAGATTTTTTAAAAACGGAGTCTCTAAAATCTTAAATAAAATAATTGTGCTATTTTCTTCAGGTTTTGTTTTATTTGATTTTTGAGAAAGAAGGGTCTTCCATCCAAAATAAATCTCCTTTCAGCATAGTATGGATATGGCTAAATATTTCTTTGAATTAATTCCTGGAAGCAGCCAAGTATATTATATTCCTGGACAGAAAAATATTGTTTTTACCTTCAGTTAAGAAATGTACTTAACATCACTGTTGATTATTTTTAATATTTTACTAAAATAAGATGCACACAATGCCCCTAAAATACAGGAGGGGGGTGGTGCTGAAATAGGGGCATATTTTGTGTTGTGTTTTGTTGGGTTTTTTAAAGTAAATGCTGATACATTACGTAAAAATCTCAATTTACAAAATAGTAGGGATCTCACCTGAATAAAGACTCCCAAATTAAGTTCTTAAAAATTAAACAAAGAGAAGCAAACATACAAGACTCTTATGATACCTCCACTTTCATAAAGAAATCTAGTTCAGAACATTTGTCTCAGTTTAAAATGTTGATGTAAGAAATTTTTCCCACTGATAATTTTTCATGGTACACTGTACTGTATAGTGTAACGGTGCTGTTTTTCTGACAGCACAGTTCACTTTTATGATACAGTTAATGACTCATTAAAATGCAGACTAATGCTCCTTTACAATCAAGTTTTGAAAAGCTAAGCGATTGCAAAATCCCTACCCAAGTTACGTTACATAGCTAGCCACAGTCTCGCAATTACTGCTTTTTTACACCGTGTCAAACAACTGACCCTCTTTCTAGGCTGCAGTCAGAATTTCCGCTGCACTATATATTAATAAATGTAATCGGACCATGCACACTACAACTGGTCAGTATAAATCAGTGTCAATTCTGAGCAAGTGTTACAGACGCAAAAAGTGACATTCCACACTTGATGTTGTCAAAATGTCATGTAAATGTGTATTAAGGGCTAAATACACGTTGGCTTAAATTCAGATCTGAATAGCACTTCCTTTGCCGCAGCTTTGTGCATCTGTCAATTGTGCTGACCTTGCAAAAATCATTTGCAAAAGCATACAATTCCATTTTTAATTCCAAGCTTTTGTGAAAGTTAAGGCGCTTTCAGATGCTCCCCGCTCCCCCCTGCAAATTGTATTACCTGCCCTTCTCCAACAGTCTCAGTATCAATAACAGTGATGATTCCAGGCACCAGAGGACTTCGACGAGTATTGCTATGAGCTAAAATTTCTTCTTCAGTTGCTCCTGATGGCAGTGTCCCTGTCAGCTGTGTAACTACTTTCCCAACCATTGTAAGTCCAGTCTTTATCGTCTATAAAAAGAAAGAGACTCGATAAATAATATTTTAGAGCTGTTTTTCATATCTATGCTGAATTTTTCCCAACAAAATGAACATTGCACCTGGGCTGCCCCATACACCAGGAGCAGACACAATCAACTAAAACTGGACTGCACCATACACCAGGAGCAGACACAATCAACTAAATATGTTGACACATAAATCACGTCAGACACTGCATATATTTGCACCCAACACTAAAGTTTGATATGCGAGGTAAACCTATTTTATCCAAAAAGTAAAACGTATTTTCATATCTTTTACCAGGGGCTTCTAAAACATTATCAAAAAAGAGAAGCAGTCACTGTAATGTGTGTCAGACATTATATTGATTTTTTTTCTTTTTAAGCTAATATTTTAGATGCATATTCTAGAAGGTGCTGAGCAAACCCTCCAAAATTGAAGGTATTGGAGTCATTGAGATTACACAGTAAAAAGGGAGAAGTGATGGTGAACAATGTGCGCAGCACAGAACAATGACAGAGATCATATTTCTATAACCATATAGACTTGTTGCTCTGCTCTCGTGTCAGACAGAAATATAACAAGGTCTGTCCTCTATCTCATCCGAAAGTGTTACCCCAGAGGTAGTACAAGGCAGCAAATGGTTGATGCAACCTAAATCAAGCAATACGGGGATCAGAAGTGCTACACAGAGAAATACTCGGGACCAAACCACATTCAACTTATTCTACACGTGACCAGTCACAGTGACTACGACACAAACCAGTAAGACAAGAAGGATGTGGCCCTTGACAGGTACGATGGGAAAGTATTCACTTTTTGCAGATCTATAACTGCTCCAATACATGAAATCAGAACAGCAATATTAAAGGCTGCACCCTCACAGTACTGGAACAGAAGACTATACGCACAGCATAAAAATCCATTCCCAAAAACACGACTTGCTGCACTGTGCATGTTTTCCAGGCATCGCTTTGAAAACTAGTTCCCTACACCGGCCTTTATACTTTATAGAAATTGGATATTTTGAGGGTGGGGGAGAGTGCGAGAAGGGAGGAGACAGCTTGGGTAAGAGATGGGCTAAAAGAATGAGAAAAAAAATAAAGCTATATATCTTTGCAGATTGCTGTTGAAATCTAAACTGCATCTCTCTGGACCATGGACTGAGTTTTATTTGCCTATAAAGCATCCGGCACATTATGGTGCTATATAAATAAGAAATAATAATAGAAGAGTTCACAATGGAACAACAGCGTAACAAACCAATTCTTAACTAAAAAGATAAGCAAAGCTGTATACTAAATTTCCAAAGGAAAAAAAAAAAAGAAGACACAGAGCACAGACTGAAACCAAGAATAAGCCACAAATCAATTGCAACTGCTTTGTTTAGTGCTAAAAACTCAAACTGCAGTGATTAGAAAACACATTAGTGTTCATCAATTAGCAGCCAAACGTTTGTTTTAATAATTCATAGGAAATGACTTACACAAAGTCTGTTAGTGTGTTGTCAGGAAAACCTCTGAAGGACCAACAGAATTAGGCGCCACACTGTATTGACGGCAATATCTAGCCAGGAAGCCTGATTAACCTCTGAGGTGCCTCCGTTGATGTACTTACCCCATTAATGCTAATGGAGATGCTACCACTTAAAATCGAGCCAGGTCTTTATCAAAGGGATGCCTCTTGGTTTTAAAAGTCTTTAGTAATATCCTGCCATTTGCTTTTTATCCACTCTTTTTATACTCGCATCAACAAATGAGAATAAAACAAACTGAAACAATGGCACATTCAGAAGATGGAAAATAATATACCAGAAAACAATGGGATCTGAATGTTTCCACAAGACTGCACTCCAATGCATACACCATCTTTAACAAAGACTACAATGCAGCTCAATAATGAAGAGCATACATGGTACATGGATACTTTATGCAGCAGGAAGGAGACAGCATTACAGGCATTATATGAAAAATACCCAAAAAGATAATAAAGCCAAGAACAGGCTAGAATATGCCTTTTCAAGAAAGTAACTGGACTATTACAGCAGATAAATTAGATTACATAGTGACAAGCATACTATTTAAGGCTTTCTAGAAAATAAATGCTGCATGCTTACCTAACAAACCAAACTACTGTCACATGCTATACTAGGCTGTGACAGCAAGATGGCTGAGAAGTCATAGGTGTCCAAAGATTCGGCCCAGTCCATTAGTACATAAATAACAGTGCAAAACCATTATGGCACTTACTCTCTTATGCTACATGTATATTTGAAAAACTTCCCTCCTAATCTTTACCCTTTCCCATGCCATATCAGCTGTCCTCCCCATCCATTAGTGCTAATGGCCTTGCTCTCACATAAGCTGTTAGTACTCATTAAGAAGTTATCAGGTAACAAGAGAAAACAGATGCAGTTTTTGCCAAATCATTTTAGCACCTTGGGATTAGAAGACACCAAGAAAGAGTCAACTGAAGCTGTTATTAGGTGACAAGAAAACTTGGCTTATTATTTGATGTTAGACATTAGGCAGGGCATCAAAAACATTGAACACTTAAATGAATTCAAGTTTGTATTTTATGTCTTCCCTCCTTATTGATGGGTGCTGACAGCGAGTGAATGCTAAGCAATGTGTTCATCCAAATGTTTCATTCAATGTTTTCTTGTAAATCTCTACGTACAATGTTCAAATTAACACACTTTTTGCATGAGTAACAAAACCAGCATCTAAAAAAGCTCCCTTGCCCTTGCTCAAAAATCCCCAAAATCATTTCAAGTAAGACAAATGTATGCACTTATCCTGGTTAATCTAAAAATGAGCACATCCTTAATTAGCTGAGAAAATTTAAATGCATCATCCTGTGACTGCTAATCTATTTAGTTTCAACGAGGTTTGAATGACAAAGCGATAGATTGTTTCTGTCTCACAAAGGACCCTAAAATCAGTATAAAAAAGTTGAATTTTTCCCAAGAAAGAACCTGTAAGGAGAAACAGGAACAGCTGAAAGAACAAAAGGTTCCATTTATACAAATGTCGTTGATAATAACATTTTGATTAATGTCATAATTCCTGATTTGACCAATTATAGACACAAAGTTAAACCAAACTGTTGCCGAGCCCCTGAAATAAAGTGTCGCTGTTTCCTATCTGCAGTCTCGATGAGAACCAGACATGCTGAAATACAGCCGCAGAGGAAATGAGGACCTGTTGGCAGCACATCCGAAGTGTGTGGAGGGACTGCCTACTAGGCCACCTAAATCTGGATGAGGTACAGCAAGGCCAAGCTAGATATCTCTGAGAGAGTGAACCGAAACGGAGGATGAATGTCCCCTGCCCACTTCAGCGCTTGGTTTCTCTCCAGCAAGATGACAAAGGCAAGCGGAGCACTGTGGGGATGCAAGAATTTGCCCGTTCACTCCAAAAAACGTGGACAGCACAGACAAGCAGCTTCACATGCAGATGCTAATTAAACCACGCATATACAAGTGCATCCATCACTAACGGCATTACATTGTAATGGGCCGCGTTCCGTGAGGATGTTTCGCCAGCAGTGGAAGGAACCTCAGAAGTCAGAATGATAGGGCCCAATATTTATCTTATTAGACGCCGTGATTTTCATCTGAAATTTGTAGCTTTTAATTAAAATGTGTAAAGCGATGTGTGGTTAACAACGTGTTAATTTTCTATTTCCAAGGAAATGACATTCAATCAAGCTATGGAAATGGTCGCTGCTGCATTAGAACAACATTTATAGCAAGCGGACTCTAAACAAACGTGATGACATGAAAGAGCAGGGAAGTACAAGCTTCACAACTGCAACAGCAGAAAACGAAGTTCATGAGATGCGCGTTCCCACTGGACTAGTGAAAACCAGGATGTTCAAGACAAATCCCTTCTAGGCAGCTAAAAACTTAGATGGACACGCAATAAAATCATAATAGAGCAAGTTTACTTCTATTACTGTCAGGATAAAAAGGGTGATATTAACCCTTTGGCATCAGGACCCAGCATCTCATGACTGTTTTCGAACTTGGTATGAAATGTTAACAGGGGAATTTCTAGCACCGCCAGCTAAAGGGATTAAAGATAACTGCTGAATTTGCTGATTAAACAGGAAGCCTACTTCATAAGCTAAACCCCTGCACATCACATTAGGGGCAAGAAAAACTGCGAGCTACCAATGTATAATTTTTTCCCCCAATCAAATAAACATTTTGTACCATCGTTGAGCCCTTCCACAGAGGATTTCAAAGTGGGAGCTCTCAGAGGGAGCCCCGTCAGCAGTAGTCTAACTAGGTTCAAGTGAATAGGGCACCAGTCCTGGGTGAGACTAGGAGGGGGTGCTAGAATCATCTCCCCAGCACTGCCCCTGCCTGGCTATAAGGGCTGGGCAGGGGCAGTGCTGCACCAAGTAGTATCCCTGGGTGGGACGCAGGGAGCGAGTGGACCTAGAGAAATGCTGCTCCCCATCCCCCTGGGAGCCTTTGTCAGAGCAAGCACAACCCTGCACCCAATAAGTATGTACTGGGCAGCAAGGAGGGGTGGGGGTAGAAGCAAGCTGGGCACTGGGGTTGGCTCTCAGGGAGGCCGGTCACAGGGATGCTGCTGCTGGAGTGGAGCGGATGCTGCTTCTGCAGCAGTAGCAGCATCCACCACCACCCAGGAAGGTAAGCCTTCCCTTCCACTCACCCACATTTCTCCCCTCTTTCCCCGCCAACTACAGTGGTCAGCAAACTCCCATGCCCCCAACCCCAGGCGCTCAATGAGCTTGCTACGCCTCTGCCTATTAGTGTTAGCCTTTCTGCTCAATTTTATTTCCTTCCTTTGCATGAAGGTTCCTCCACTTGCCTCAATGAGAGGCTGGAAGCAGGCCAGGCAAAAAAGGCTGAAATACAAGGTCATGTGGAAAAAGAAGAATTTTTATGGGACCACTTCTGAACTCAAAAGTGACAGAGTAGGGAATGAAAAAAGGATACCCACTTGAAAAGACGCTAACACCTCTGCTGATCAAAGGAGGTGTATCCTAAACCATTCCATGCTGATAAGATATAGCTACAGTTGAGGCCTGAAAATGAAGGCTTACTTAAGCAAGCAATAAGGCTGATGGTGAGGTAATGGGAAGGGCAAAGGGTAATAGATATTTGGAGTGTGTATTTGTCAATGAGGTAAATCAGCATCCCAATTAGTAGGAAATTGCACATTACTACCCTAACATACGACTTTATGAAATCAGTGAAAACAGGGTTGTCAGCTTTGCCCCTCTGCATTCGTTAGAACTGCTAACTTAAATGCAAGAATGACACATTAGTAAACAAGCAGTCTGTAATATCTGCAGTTGTAGTGCTAAGCACGGGACATATGCAGAAGAGTAGACAGTGACAGTCCCCCCCTCCCAAAATGTATAGGCAAAAGACACAGAGGGGAATAACACACAAGCATGCTGAACAATGGGACGGCTGCAAATGCAAGGTAGTTCCACAGTTGTGGAGAGGAAGGAGGAAATATAGGAAAAATACCTTCCATGATCCAAAACATCTAGGCAGCCCTTGCACTTTCTAGTATACTAATACTGAGACAAACATGGAAGCTGCAATGGGATGCCAACTGTAGCATCCTCAGCTCCAGCACCGGGCACGAGTGAAATCACCCAGGCCAACACTACAGCAGCAGCAGCCATGAGCTCCACATCTGGACCCAAATGATAGTGGTGACCCTCTTTTCCTAATGCTCCGATACAGCATGAGGCAAGGAATGGAGAAAAAGGTGCAACGTTCCAGCCTTCAGCCACCGGAGGTAAAGGGGCAAGAGACCAGGGACAACCTGAAATGCCACTTCCTCCTCCCAGCCATGACTTCCCTCCCTTCAAGAGGGACTTAGCTTCTCCCGGCACCAAACCCCACCCTATCTAGTGAGGCAAGCAATTTTGTATTCTAATTTTTTTTTTAAACCCCAGAGGTGTCATTTATACATATGCCCATCCTGCTGCCTGTCTTAAATACAAGAGCGATGCTGTACACAACTGGTCACAACCAACCAGAGTTTGGGAAATCCAACAATTGGGGAAAGAGAAGCCTGGCACAAATACGTTTGATGATATCCGGATACAAGTGAAGCTTCCTCTTCTGCCCTGCAGTATCAACCCAGAAGTCTCTTCCCAAATGCTAGAAGTTTAGTGGCATTTTTTGCTTTTGGCTGAATGCATAAAATGGACAAGGTTTAGTGGTGAATATTATCTAAAAGCTTTCCATCTCAGACTACTACTCATGTTAAATAGGGGAGGGAACAAATGCAAGTATTTTTTCTACTTGTACCTATTAATGAGATGTGTGATCATTACTTTCAAGTTTGTATGTACTGGGCTCAACAAAGGAACTCCTAGGTGAAATTCTCTGGCCTATATCACATAGGAGGTCAGACTACATCATTATAATGGTCCCTGCTGGCTGGAAACCTATTAATTTATTTTCTTGTTTAGAGGCCCTTTTGGGCTTTATGTTCTGACAGATACTCCCTGGCTATATTTTCCAGTCCCTGGAACAAATAAAATTCACCTTTATCCTGTAAGGAATATTGGACACACGTTGTTTAGCTATATATAAAGGTTTAACCATGCTGTCTGTGGCCTGGTCTTCTCAAAGATATACCAGCCCAAACTCCCTACTTTCCACTATGGGGTAGAATTAAGTGCATTGCCATGAAATATCACACTGAGCTGGTTATTTTCCAAATCCATTAGAATTAAAAACAGAAACAAAAACAAGATGTTACATGATAAGATGGAAAGCACTGGTTCTATTTTTCCTTGATGGTGGAGGAACTCAAAATGGACATTATGGATACAACATAGTGGGAGCATCTGCACAAGATGCTACAGTGTAGTATCAACAAGCTGCTGCACCGTAGCTCATTGCTACGGCACTGTAGAGTTGCTGGGCGTGAACCATGATGGCGACACTACTGCACGGTAGTAACGAGCCACTGCACAACAGCATCTAAAAATAACCGTGCGGTGACAGGACTGCGCAGTAACACCTGGTCAGTCAGCTGCTTGGTTAAGCAAGTACTAAATGACTCCGCAGTAACAACTGTGCAGTCAGCTGCTTGTGTAGACATGGCCAGTGTGCCAAATAGTATGCAAGGGCCAAATATATTTAAGTGCCTAAGTTGTATTATTTGGGTGCTTAAGTATGATCCCTATTTCATCCTGTTCAGCTCCCTGAAAAACCACGAATGTGAAAGGTGAGTGAGTCTCACTCCTGCTTTTTGCAATAAAAGTAGGCTACAATAAGCTGACACACTAATATTTTTTCATGGACTTGAGCAGGGTGGAAAAGGATTGTGCTTAGGTACCAAAGTGAATGGATTCATGCCAGTATCTTCAGAAAGACGGAGATCCCTTTTCTCTCGGCAACATAAAAACCCGTGATTTTTCTCTCCCTCCAACCACAGCAAGATGAGGTCCAAAAGCCATCCTGAAGGAACACATTCATTTTTATATCTTATTTGTTTTCATATGAAATAGCGTGACCTTTGCTTCTCTTTGTGGGTTCCTGAAACTGTTGTTTTGTTCAGTGTAGTTGTACTTTCTATTCCATGCTGTCATTTCAAGTCTCTTTGCAATGCCTATTATTAGAAATGTTTTGTTCTGTATTTCACAAATCAAAAGACTAGTGGTTGTACCAAAAGCTTGTAATCAGCGTGAAGTTTGCCAGCCAACACCAAAGTGTGTGTGTGTGTGTGTGTGTGTGTGTGTGTGTGTGTGTGTGTGTGTGTGTGTGTGTGTGTGTGTGTGTGTGTGTGTGTGTGTGAGAGAGAGAGAGAGAGAGAGAGAGAGAGAGAGAGAGAGAGAAATGCTGTAGGCAAGACCTCTAGGGGGAAAGAAAAGAAGAAAGAAACACAATTCCTCAGTCTTTTGGCCAGCTTAAGATTTTTCCAAGCCACAGTCTTCCTCTCACACTATGAAAACTCAGACACTTCCACAAAAACACAGGGGAATATTATAACGCTGTTAAGACTAAGCAAACCATAGGCAATGGTATCTGAATGTAAACATTATTAGTAAGATTTGAAGACTTTGAAGAAGGTTGTAATAACCAGGTTAAGTAATTTTCTCCAGTAGTATTTTATTATCTTTGAAAATGCAGTAAAAACACAGTACTGGTGTCAATGTCTCCATAATGTGCTAAGCACTACTGTAGTCATAAAATTAGCATTATTAGGCTAGTCACTCAAAGAGCAGAGGCCTGATCCTGCACACCTGGAGGCCTGTGAATGGATCCTCTGTAGCTGGTCGCATTTGACTTGATTTCACCAAGAATGCTCTGTGCGAAGAGGGCTGCTAGCAGGATTGCAAGCTGAAGGTCTGCAATCCTGAAAAAGTGCTGAGTACTTGCTGAAAAGTGCTTGACACTGGAAACCCTGCTGAAGCAGATTTCCCTCCAGCCATTGACAAGATATCATAGTTGGTATTAACCCTATTAAAAAAAAACAACAAAACCCAACTCGCATACCTAATTAAAGTGAGGGGTTTTTTTTCCTTTTTTTTTTTCTTTTGTGAATGAGAAGAGTGGGGAAAAAAATCCCAGTGGCGTTCAGTAGGAAGACCTGATAATCACTGCACATGATAACCTCTCCCAGCAGTTGATGATGTACTCACTTTGGCAGCACTAATGACTGTGGCAGTGTAAGACTGAATGTTGTCTCCACAGGCTCCACCACGGGACTGATGGCATCGGATCAGCTGCAAGAAGAAAGACAGCCAGCAAATCACTACTATTAAACTATACAACCCCATAACCCATTAGCATAGCTCTTATTTATCATGTATAGTAGTGTGGTTTTTTTCATACAAATAGCAAAAAGCCCTGCTGAGACACTTAACCCCTTTTTATAATCTTCTGGGTGCCACCCAGACTGTCGCATGCTCAACTTTGGTTTTCAATTACAAGATGAGTAGTCACTAAGAATTCATAAACTTTGAAATGGTGGGATTTTTGGTCTGGCAGCGTTACCACAAATAAATTTAAATAAATATAATCAAAGGCTTTAGCCATGTCTATGTAACATTAAATATTTGACATGCTAAGAATTTGGATGTGGCTTATTTCTTTTTTTCCTTTTTTTTTTTGTTAAAGACTCTAGCAAGCACAAAAATGACAAAAGCAAAAGTTAGCTACATTCACATTTCTAATTCTTCGAGGGTTTTCAAGCTTCAGTACATTAACTGCTTGGATACTGGAGTTGCAGGGCTTCTACCCTGCTCTTTTTATTAATCTCTCCCCCTCCAAAACGCAGGACGCCTATACCCACTATCAACCAGGAAAAGAGGCAGAATGTGGAAAAGGATAATAAAAAGCTGCTCTCTTATCTAAATAAATCAGCAAATGAGTCGCTGATATTTATTGCTGCTGCATATATGTCAAAACTCTAGCTGCTGCATTCCCTCATTTTTACTGAAAGAAAGAGGACCGCCCTAAAAATAAATATATGCTCCAGCATGTGCCCCCTTCCTGATTATATTAAAAGGGCTAAAATAGTTAGAAAGGGGGGAAAAAAGACAATATGGGAATCACAAGTGGAAGAAGTTACTTTCAGACACATTTCTTTAAAACGTGCTATTTGCATTTCCGGTAGCAGCGGTACTCATTAAGTTCACAGGCTAATCTGCAAGTCCGGCTGCTACGCAGCTGACCCCTGAGCTTGGCATTGCAACACAAAGCAGGCCTGAATTCGGACAGAGATCAGCTGTGCTTGAAAAGGTGTAGCAGCAGGCAAATGTATTAAAGCTGCTTCTCTCCGCATCTTTGGCTCAGCTCTGCCAGCAGCTATTCTTGTCATGGGGTTTAACCGAGCGGAGTCAGGCTACTTTAAAACGCAAACCATGCACTGGTGACTGGGGGCAAAGTTCTCAAACGAGTCTCGTTTTAAATCAGAAACTAGGCAGCAGAATAAGATTTGGTAAAACAAGTGCTGATCACACTTTCACCGGCACCTAAAGCTTCTCTGTTTCTTTTTAAAAAAATAAATTACAAATCAAAACTAATTCTCTATTTCAGTGTTTGGAGACAGCTGTGGTCTAATAGATTGAGCTTGGAGGCCGGGAGCCAGGAATTTTTGAGTTCTCCTGACTCTGCCCACTGACTTGCTGTGTGGTCTTGGACAAGCCCTTTGACCACTCTGTGACTCAGTTTCCCCCTACTTGGGAAGTAGGGGGAAGGATATCCACATACCAGGTCTCATCGGGGTTGAAATAAAAGATTCCAAATTATTTTTGAGAAGTGTTAATTGCTGAGTAACCCATATCAAGCAAACATGAAACCTTTTTTCTGCCCCTGCTATTTCTTTTATGCCTAGGCTCTGCAAACACAGAAAACTGTAACAGGTAGAGCAAAGTTGCAATCTAATTGCAGACAAAAACAGATGGTAAAAAAAATAAAATTAAAAAAAAAAAATCTATATTTACACCTACCTTCATTATCAAACTGCTTTTTGAAATAAACTGTAATATTTTTCATGCTCGCTCCTGAGATTTTACTAAATTCATTCTAGTTTCTGTCTTACAGAAAAATATACAGATTTAACCACTTCCTTACCTTATTTTCTGCATAAGCAAGCCAACGGCTTCCAAGAGCAATGGGATTCATATTTGGCCCTGGACAAGGATAGCAGCCTGAAAATTTTCAAAAGGCAGCATTGAGAAATATCTTAATGACTTCTTACAAAGAATTTTAGCTATTGCCAAGAAAACAAAAAGTCTAAACAAAGAGCTTTCAATTGCTCATATCACTCAGCAAATGCTTACATTTTTGTAGTTGAAGATAAGATTGTGGCTACATGAGCTATTTTATTAACAGATAATTAAGTGTAAATGCTAATTTTTCCTTATGTTTGAGTTCCTTATTTTAATGTCACCCGAAATGCTGGGGAAGCGGAGATTTCACAACTTTAAAAACCCTTTCAGTCAAAATTTTGTGCGATAATAGCTGTTAGCTGAAGTTGTTGGGAGTGTGGGGTGCGTTTTTTTAGCATTTGGAAAAGTAGGTTTCTCCATATTTTGACAAAATTAGTTCTAGGTATTTACATTATAATAAATTTAACTTCACAGAATGCCTGTTGCTTGTCGACAGATGCAATGAACTGAAAATCTTTTTTTCAATGTGTTTATGCATAGAGACCCCTCATCTGACAAAGATTTATGCACACTTAACTTTATACACTGTGAATGAAATACTGGCCCATTTGAAAATCAATGGCAAGATTCCCAGCGACTTCCATGACCCGGGGTTTCATCCTGTGTGCACTTCCACAGCATCACTGGGACCATCCAGATTATCAAGGCCAGCTCAGAAGTGAGGGCCTTAAATAACCCTGCCTACAACCGCATACAATGCACGATAGGTATTGTATACACTTCCAATAGGAAGGCACTTTATTTCTGGTTTGTCACCCTCTTCTATTCCAGAACTAAGTCTCTTTTAAGCAGGTTGTCATGCCAAATTAAATGGTTGTTTTTTATAGTTACAAAACCTATGGATTCTTTTTTGCCAAATAGATTTTTCAGGATCATTTTCACTAATTTGAGCATATCACCACAACGCCAGTTCATTGCAAACTAAAATTTACTCTTAGAGGTGGGGGCTGGAAGAGGGAGAGGGAGCCTGGAGACCCAGGCAGCAGCATCAGGACCAATGGGGGGGGTGGTACCCAGGCTGAGAGCCTTGGAGGCTACAGGTGAACCCCTGGGCCAGATGCAGCCCATGGGCCACCAGTTGGACCACCCTGATATGGAAAATTCAGTCTCTCTCATACAAGTATTTAGCAATAAAAGGAAGAAATAGGAGCACAACTGGTCGTATCAGCCAAACAAACGTACCATGCTTGAAAAATTGCAATTAATCCACTTTTTTTTATATATATATATAACTAAACACCTTCTTGAAAAAGAAAGTGGTTATTGATCATTTGAATGAGCCAAAGTCCATTTAGAACTGTAAAATGCCTTTTTCCATAAATCAACAAAACAGTCTATACATAATGTCTAGCATTATCTCTGAAAAGCTACAGCTGCAACAGTGGCCATTTTCATTATATGTATCATCACTTCCAAGGTAATTAATTACATGAATTGGATTCGGTCAACTTGATACAGAACTACTCGCAAATCAAGTAAATTCCAACCATGAACTCTATACAGGTCAGACATGCAACTCGCTCTTAAGCTTTTCTCAATTAAGAAACATGGTTAAAAGAAAAAGCAACTTCCCTTTGTGACTCCATTTGGCTTGGAATCTTACTGTAGCACGAAGGATACACAAAGGGTATATTTTATAGGACAAAAAGCAAATTGTTTTTCTGCTATCGTCCCCCTCTACCACCTCAAACAAAAAAAACAGCTGGAGTCAGCAGAACTTCATCCACCATCCACTCAGCAAATGAAGAGACAGCCAGCGTGACCCGTCAGGCCTTGATATCCAATCATTACAAACATAACTCTCTTAAAGATTAACTTTGGCTTCTGCTAAACTTCAAAACAAGTGAAGAAAACCCCAATTCTAAGCAGCAACAGCAGTAATTTTACCATGTTTACAATGAAAATTAACATCACGAGAAAGCAAAACTGACTGTCCAGAAGACGGTAATTTCCAAGTTCCAATGAAGGTATGGAGAGGTCATCCAAGAGAAGATCGCCAAGGGAAAGTCTTTCAAAAAGGACAGCAAGTCATGCAAGTCCTTGGCAACACTTAATCAAAATAGGGAATTTTACCCCCTTGTGGAAAGGTGAAAACTTACTGAAAACTAATTTAGAGGCTTTTCAATATACAAATAACTCTTGAATTGCTATCTTCAAAATAAGGGTTGCCATTATGGGATCCATACTGCCACTATGTCCTTTCAGGATCCTCCAACCTAGATGTTCATCCACCTAAGAAATCAACTGTGTTAGATGTGCGCTCGGCACACTTATTACACACTGGCAGGCCTTACAAAGCTCAGTGGATATGAAGGTGTAGTGGCAATGGCAGCGATGATAGTTAAAGCACTATCCAGATCTTGATTCAAACCTACACTTCCCATCTCTCTCAAAGTGCTCAATCTGTCAGGCTATGGCCACAGCCTGATAATTAGGGCACTTTATGAGAGATGGGAAATGTAGGTTTGAATCAAGATCCTGGATCTTGAAGCGCGGTTAATAGACACTCCAATCCTCCTATTGATATGCCACTCTGAAGAAAAGAATGAAAGATTCATTGGACCAAAGCAGGGGAGCAAGGCTCTGCAGAGCAGGGCACTCAGCTGGGACTGGGGTATCCCAAGTTTAGTCTATGCTCCTAGACTGCTCATTCATTTTACAATGAGCAGTCAGTAGCTTCATGGATCCCTTTGTGCACCTAGCTCTTGATGACCAGAAAGACAGCTAGCTTGAAGGACCAGCATTTTAAAATGCCAGGTTTTTTTTCCAAACAAATAAGGACTATTGTAGTTAACGGCACAACCACTGAAACTGGTCCCTCTATTTAGACTTGAACGTAACACACGCTGGCCTTCATAAGAACTGGCATTTTCACAGACACAACCATATGTTTTTATAAAAAAAACAAAATATCATGTTGGGAATTAATTGGGACCCATGCACAGAGAAAGGGTATATGCACCCCCATATTCTTTCTAAATCCGATGCAAGTTGATATACTGTGTTAAAATGTTTTTAATTTATGTGCAACAGAATAAAACAGAGGGGGGAAAAAAAAGCAGAATTGGCCGATGTCATTGTATTTCTTCAAACTGACCCTACTGGGCTATCTCAGGACACTACTGGCATGTTCCTTCTTTTACAACATGCACTAGAGACTTCATATCTTAACCTATTTTACAGTCTTTAAAAATTTCTGGTTATGATATTTATCGCTTTTTGTCTTTTTTCCTCCTTCGTCTTGACCTGGTTTCTGGTTTCCAGTGAAAGTCTCTTCAGCAAGTTGCTCTTTTCCATCCTTTTTTATTTGACCACACCATAAAAATCTCCTCTTTCCCCATAATGTTTACTGCTTTCCTTTCCCAGGTTCTCTCCCATTTCCCCTCTGCACATGCACACTAACCCTCTTTGGTATCAATAACAAGGATTCTCCTCCTAATGTGTATAACAGGCTTTCCTCCTCCTTTTAATGGATGTTCCATGCTTTATACCCACATGACAGTGATGATTTCATACTGGTGTTGGACAATTTCATTTCAAGCTACCCCTTTGGATTAGTGTTTATGCGACATATGGGTATAAACTAGTACTATTATAAAATCTGCCCTCTATAGATTCATTTAGTCTCTAATCCCAAGCTGTGAATCCAGCTGCATCTGTTTGGACTTCACGCTGCCATGTGACATTGGGTTTGAGATCCAGTTAAGAGTTCAGAAGATAACCAGGGTCAGGGCTGGTTGAGACAAGGATGGGAGGCTTCCAAAGATAACCTAAACACTGCAGAAAATGGTACTCAATGGGTGATACTCAGACTTCTGAGTCAAAGCTGATCACATTGCTAAAGAGTAGTGTGTACTTCCACAGGTATAGATTTTTTGATGAATTTTAAGAAAAAGGGAGGAGAGTGGCAGAAAAGGAATCAAAAAAATACCATAGTATTTTCTCAAGAATAGGGTTTTCAAGCACCTCTCTTCCTGACTAAATTCCAGAATGGGTAATTCAACTCACCTGATAATAACTGGTTTGTATCACTTATACGCGGCATTCTCTACTTTCAGTTCTATAAGCTGGTAAACCAGTACTGCCAGGACATGTTAGATAGTCAGCCAAGACAGTCCACCAAAGAAGTGGTTGCATTTCAGTAGTTTCTTATGTGGCCTACATTAATTCTAACAACCAAATATTTTTTTCTAGAGTTAAAAGGAATGCATGGGGCCTCAGAGTGACAAAGCCGCAAGACTCTTTGCCTAAGGAATCACGCAATGTAAACTGGCCGGAGAAAACCCAACGTGACGACCGATCAAGGAGACAGAGGAGTGCAGAAAGGGGAGAGAAAGTAAATAACGGATAGAGTGAGACTGTTGTTGCATGAGCATTGTTTATACCAAGAAAAACAAATCGTATAAAGTTGTTTTGTCTGATATTTCTTGTTTGTTTGGGGTTTTAGCGTCATAAGGCAAACCAAATTTATTTGTTTATAAATTGTATAAAGTAATATTGTTTATAAATTCCTTTGGGATCCTTCTAGATGAAAGGCCCTATGTAAACGCTATTACTTGCATACTATCACATACTTCCCCGAGATCTTCTATTGTTCTTATGCTTCCTTCTGTTTAAACATCCCTCGCAAAAAATCGAGCACAAGAGCAACAAGGCAGGACCCACCCTACTGGCCATGCAAAGCGTTTTGTCAGTGATAGTTTTGAAAAGGTGGGGAGGACGGGGAAGGGGAGCACTGAAAAGCCAGAGAAATAAGGCAAAAGGGCCTATGCACCACTGCTAATTAGACCCTCATTGCTCTTACTCAAGTAGCACGAGATTCAGCAGTCATCGTGTGTTGTATTCACACATATGGAGTACCGTGCTGGTAGATCCCTGCATACAGCTACAGACTTCCATCTGCACTAGGCTCACTGCAGAATTAAATCTAGCCGTTTGTATGTACTTACCCATAGAAACCTCCCCTTCCCTTCAATTCT